AACTGGAACTGTTTTTCACCACTTCAGTTTGTGAACTGTCCACCACCTTGTGGTAGGTTTGAGCTTGTACAGCTGGGCTTTAAAGGAAGATGACTTTAGAGCTACATGCTGGTGGCTCACACCTATAATCCTAGCTACTCAGGAAGCTGAGATCTGAGCATTGCAGTTCAAAGCCAGCATGTGCAAGAAAGTCTGTGAGACACTGATCTCCAATTAATCACAGAAAAAGGCTAGAAGTGGAGCTGTGGTTCAGGTTGTAGAGGGCTAGTCTTGAGCAAAGGGAGCTCTGGGAACATGCCCAGGCCCAGAGTTCAAGCCCCAGGACCAGAAAAAAAAAAAGAAAAAGAAAAGAAAGAAAAAAGGAAGTAAGGTCATATGAGGATGTTGGTTCGGGCGGGATGGAGGTTCGTGTCTTCTTCCCCCATGATGTCAGCGCCTTGCCCTGCTTGCCATGGACTGTGTGTGTGTGTGTGTGTGTGTGTGTGTGTGTGTGTCTGTGTGTCTGTGTGTCTGTGTGTGTGTCTGTGTGTAAGAGCACTGCTTCTCCTGAGCCTGGCCTTGGCTGCCTGGCACTGCTGCTGCAAAGTGCCTATCAGCTCCACGTCTCCCAAGCTTTCTCTCTCCCAGTTTACTTCAGTTTTACGCTCAAGTAATGAGTCAGTAAGTGTTTAAATTTTAATTTTTTATTATTACTAGAAAAATAATGTACAAAGAGCTACATTTACATAAGATGGGCATACAGTATATTACTCTTTGGCCCATGCTCTCTCTGTTTTTCCCTGCCACCCCCACTCACAAGTTGTATGGTTCATTTTCAACACAGTGTCTAGTAAGTACCACTGCTGCATTTGTTCATTGGAGTTAGTAGTTTTTAGCAAAAGCAGTTTCTAAGTATTCACGATAGAGTCTCATTGTCTTCATTTTTCCTCTAAAATAAATACTGTAACTCACCAAGCAAGGCAAGCACAATTAGAGAAACTGCTCTATACTCATGAATAGGTCAGGGGGAGAGGGGAAAAGCTGAAGGATCCCCTATATTCATAAATTGAGAGAATTAAAATATTAAAATGGTCATATTACCAAAACAATCCACATAGTCAAAGCAACCCTTATCAAAATACCAAAGACGCTCTCTTTTCTTATTGTGAAAATACTGTACAGAGCGGTGACAATTACATGAGCAAGGTAATGAGTACATTTCTTATCAAGCATTGTTGCCTCCTTTGTTTCCCCTTCCCATCCTTTCCCATCTCCCCCCATACCATGAAACACACTCTTTACATAATTAAACAAATCTTAACATTCATTTGTAAGTATAAAAGACTCTCAATGGCAAATAATCATGATCAACAAGAGCAAAGTAGACCTGGACACTGGTAGCTAAAGCCTATAGTCCTAGCTACTCACATGGCTGAGATCTGAGGATCCAGACTTGAGGCCAGTCTGGATAGAAAATATTCGAGACTCTTCAAAAAAGCCAGAAGCAGACCTCTGGCTCATTCACCCAACACAGAATCGGTTGTGCTTATTGAGATTTCTTGTTAAAAGCTGTAGGAGCCTAACTATAAAATTCTATCACTTAGCAACAAGAGAAAATGGCCTAAGGTGTTAAGAATATACTGAATAAAAATAACAAAGACTGGAATGAAAATCCTGAGATGTTGAGGTCACAGTATTTCCTTGGATCCTTGAATCTCAGGAGACAATAAGTAGCACCCAAGCAATGGAGGAAAGGGGTGTGGCTACCATGGTGGTCAGGAGAGTTAAAGCACCAGTCAGAAGAGTCTGCCTTACAGTGACCCAGGGCGTGGGCTAATGGTGATCCTCAAATGAGACAAGATGGAAGGTCTACTAAATTCTCATATTGATCTCGAGGAGCAGAAGAGCTGGGCTGAGTATGAGTTTGGCTGGAGGCTCCTAGATTTGCCGTTTAACTTCCTTGTGGTTGAGAACTGAGTTTCAGGTGGTGCTTTGGCAAGTGCTGGACATGGAGAGTTACCTCACTCACAGCACCACGGACTCATCAGCTTCTTGGGAGCATCTTCAACTTTTTTCTTTTTTAACTTGTCCAAGGCCTTGAACTCGGGGGCAGAGAGCTGTCCCTAAGCTCCTTTTTTCTTTCTTTTCTTTTTTTTTTGTTGGCCGTGGGGCTTGAACTCTGGCCCTGAGTGCTGTCCCTCAATTCTTCAGCTCAAGACGAGCACTCTACCACTTGAGATACAGCTCCACTTCTGTTTTTCTGGTGCTTTACTAGACATAAGAGTCTCTCAGAGTTTTCCAGCCGCATCTGGCTTTAAACCGTGATCCTCAGAGCTCAGCCTCCTGAGCAGGTAGGATGACAGGTGTGAGCCACCAGCGCCCAGCCCTAAGCTCCTATGGCCCAAGGCGAGCACTCTCCCACTTGAGCTACAATGCCATGGCTTTCTTTGGTGATTAATTGGAGGTACGAGTTTCATGGACTTTCCTGCTCCCACTGGCTTTGAACCTCACTCCTCAGATGTCCTCTCAGGCCTTTTATTCCATTCTGTGTTATTTTGGCATTTGGCATTCTTCCTTTTTTTTTTTTTTTGGGTCCAAACGTGGGGCCTGTACTCTGGACCTGGGCCCTGTCCCTCAGCTCTTCAGCTCAAGGCTAGCGCTCTACCACTTGAGCCACAGCACCACTTCCGGCTTTTTTCTTTTTGCTTATGTGGTGCTGAGAAATTGAACCCAGGGCCTCAGGCATGCAAGGCAAGCGCTCTACCACTGAGCCATCTTCCCAGCCCTCTTCATCCTTTACAAGCAAAGAAAGAAAGAAACACATAACTGCAAGTTCCTGAGGAAACCTTGGGTCAGTGCTTCTGAGGGACCTTTCTCAGTCACCCCATCCCAGAGCTCCCCTCACTAAGTGTCATGTGTCTCCCTCACCCATCACCTCCGCTCCTTACAGCCATTTCCCATAACCCACATTCAGCTGCAGGGCCTCTTATAGATTGTACTGCTCAGCCCTGAAGCTGTAATGCCTGACTTGCTCCCTGATCCACACTCTGCTCTAAGGGGTGGCCAGACCATAGACATGGGTCTGGTTTCTGGTTGCCCTGGCACTGGGGAGGGTGGCAAACAGACATCCTTCTCACTTTTCTCTCAACCTCTACTCACCTGGGATCCACACAGCTCTGATGTCATGACCCTGTCTCCACCTTGTGCATTCCTGGTCAGCTCAGCTGGGGAAGCACTTGATACTAGCCACAGCTTAATCCCCTCGGCCTCTGGAGTTGAATCTGCTCTGAGGAGAGGCCACTGAGCTGGTTCAGGATAGAACACCTACAGGAGGCTGGATGCCAGGTGGCTCCTAGATTCCAAGAGTCCCCACTGGTCTGTTTTCCTTCTAGCCTGAGGCTGGGCCAACTGGACTCTCAGCTTCCTACCTCAACGGCTCAGACTTCAGGCCACATTGCATGGGAGTGCAGCCCTGAACTACTTCTGCTTCTGAGTTGGGTCAGGAAAGGCCTTTCCAGTTGCCTAGCTTGGGAATGAGACACTGGCCACCCTCCTGTTCATCTGTAAGATGGAATCACCTTCATGTCTACACATCAAGGACAGAGCTACCAAGCTGTTAGCATTCCAATGGGATATTTTCCTTTTTTGTGTTCCTGCTGTTCCCACACAAGTATCACTGGACCCTCACAATTGGGTAGCTGATGTGAACTAATTCTGCTAAACCCTTTTAGAATCAATAGGCCATATCTTGGTAGAGTCCCTCCCTTTCCCACTGCTCTGTGAGAGGGAACATTGCTGATATGGGCACTGAATATGCCCAAGCTATTGCCATCAAGTGCTAGGAGGTGGACTTCTCCTGTCTCCTGTCACCATGAGAAGAGGCATTGAGGGTCTGGAGTAGGACACTAGGATTTCATTTTCACATCCTCAGTCTTCACCCATCTGCCCCTGTCCTCCTTCCCAATTGTGCCCAGAGCATCCATTAACTCAAAGACTCACCTTCATTGAAAATAGGGTGTGTACGGTAAGAAATAACACAACATAGTGGCTGAGTGTGATTCTTGTGCATTTGTTTGGGGTTGGCTGAGCTGAAATAGAAACAGGAAGGTCAGTTCTTGTCTGGTCTCCAGATCTTAAGTGGCAGGTCACTAGCCTCTGCTGCCTCAAGTAACTTAGTAATATCTCCCATTCCTATCCTGCTGTTCTGGGGTGGCTGGTGAGGCTGGTGGTGAGGGAGAGAGCACTGCCTACTGTTCTGAAGGAGCTCATGGGAGAAGCCAGAGTTGGAAAAGTAACCTATGTTGCCTTCTGGCAGAAGAGAGGTGAGCCATGAAAATGGTGGGAGAGAAGGGCCTCGGGAGCTGCCCTGGGAGGTGGTTCTTTTGCTTAAATTTAATTTGATTGCAAAGGTGATGTACAGAGGGCTTACAGTTACAAAAGTAAGCTATGAGTACATTTCTTTTCAAGCACTGTGACCTGCTGCCTGGTTTTCTCCTGTCTTCCCTCCCCCCTGGAAGGTGGCTCTGAAGGCTCTGTGGAAATGGATCAGGGGAGATGAGAAAGAATAGTGACTCTAGGAAAAGGCACCAATAAGAGGAGAGACGTGGAAGAAGAAGAATGTCCGCAGCCCAGAGGCAGCGAGAAGTCAGCAGTGGATGGAGAATTTGGAGAAAGAGGGCAACACAGATCAAAACAAGTGCTGGCAGTGAGATTGAGAAGTCAGGGAGATGAGAAGAGATGGAAGGATTGCATCTCTGACCATTTATCCAAGGAAAAGTCACAATGAACCATCACGTGCCTAGGTGTAGAAGCGCTCTCTCTCTCTCTCTCTTTTTCTTTCTTTCTCTCTTTCTTTCTTTCTTCCCCCCCTCTCTCACAAACACACACACACACACACACAAACACACACACGTCAGAAATATGTCATCTGAAGAGAGCTTCCACTGTTTTCTGCTCCTGCCAACTTACCTGTGAGCTGCATTTCCTCCCAGGGACCCCAAAACTGCTTGAACCAGCTTGCACAGTCTCCTACTAAGTCTTGTAGAAGACGTCAGTCACAGACCTGTCTTCTTCCAAAATCTTTTTTATCCAGCTGGATCCAGGATGGACCTCTGTCCATTGCTGGGTGTTGGAGTCAAAGTGGAGGAGTATCTGGCCATTGTAGACTAACTGCCAGAACCCACTGATTTTTCCATTGCCTTCAGGCTGACAAGACATTTTGCCCAGTAGGGTGCAGGGATCTTCTCCTGGGAAAGAGATGGAAAGAAAGCAGACTCTGGTCTTGACACATGCGTTCCTTTCCCTCCTTCCCTTCCCTGTCTCCTCCCTCCTCCTTTCTTCCTGCTACAGAGTTTTGAACCCCTGACCTCCCACTCTAGCTTAGCTTTTCAATTTGTTGGAGATATTTCTGCTGGGGCTAGCTTCAAAGCCAGATGCTCAGATCTTAGCCTTCCAAATAGCTAGGATTATAGGCCTGAGCCACCAGTGTCCAGTGTTTCTCCCCTTGTTTTCTCTCCTCTCCTCTATTTTCCACATCACAGCCTTCATGCTGGACTTGTTGGAATCAACATCCAGGGTTTGTATTTTTTTACATGAAAGTCATGCATTCCCTGTATCTGCCACCATACCTGCTCCTTCCTTCTCAGGACCATTTGGAACTTACCCTTGGTTGTACCACTCTCTAATTTAATGTGAGCCAGTTGCTGTCTGAGGATGTCCCCTATGTCTTTCAGAATATCAGGTTGCTTTTGCCAGGCCTCTGTTTTAATCACTTTCAACCCGAATAGGCCCACAGGATTGCACGTGTCATTGCTACTGTTGTAGTAAAGGAATGTATGTTGATCCACTTGGCCGTAAGCTTCATACCACCACTGTCTCGAAACAACAGTGATGTTATAGGAAAGAGAGTGAGCATCTGTGGGGGAAGACATACAATGAGGTTTGAGATAAAGAGCAAGAAATCCGGAGACACCCTGTCCCTCAAGACTGTGACACCAAGAAAATCCCTCAGGTAGTTGAAGTTGGCAAAAAAGGAAAAAATTAACATTCTTTTTGGTCCTTCTTCTGCACTAGTAAAGTGTAGATCCTCCTCCATGGTTTGAGGAGGAAGAGAGGGCCCTGCCTGCCCAGAAAACATGTATTCCTGTTCTACCTGCCCTCTCTCTCAGGCAGATACCTGTATTCATAAGCACAGGATTTTGGCATGGAAATGCCAGGTTGCTATGTCAAGCAAAGTTCTGAGAAGGGCATTGCAGAGTGGACAAAATATGAAACATGCCTAGAGACATATTCAGTCCAATCTGCTCCATGGGAAGGCATAGAGGGCTGCTGCTTACCAAGCATACAAAGAATAGCCAGTGAATGAAGTGCTTCTGTTTTCCAAAGATCAGTGAACTGAATACCTAGGGCTGGTGGTAGGAGATGGCAGTACAGTCCCAATAGAAAGACCCCAGGTAGAGTGCTCAATCCATGTGGACAATGGTCGATATAATACAAGGGTGGCTGTAGCCAGGGGCCTGGTCCCCAGAGGGCTCTGCCCAGGCTCATAGAAGCCAAGTTTTCTCAACACCTTATATTTGTCACAAACTCAGATATGGCTACATAAGAGGAGTTGAAGACAAATCCCAGAGATGGGTGATCAGGAAGCCAAGGCTGCCATTCCCAGAAAAGCTGGCTCCTGTGCCAGGTTTCCAGAAGTGATCCACTGCTCATACAGACCCACAGTCCTTTCTCAAGTGGAGAGCAGGTTCACAGAAGGAGGAGCCTTTAACTCCTCCCCATCAATAAATGCTTCTTTCTGGCTCACTGCACTGCACTCATGCACTAAGTCTCCAGGGCCAGGCATGAACTTACCAGAGGCTGTCAGGAAGGGCAACACTGTAACAACTGCAGGCTTTCCAGGCTAGAGACTCTGCTCCTATAGCTTGGAAGCAGCCACAGGTAACCCATGAATGGCTGATGTGTCTGCCCCTGCCCCCAGGGCCCTGTGACCCTGAGAGGTGTGTGCTGGGCAATCGTGCTGTGTGGAATTCTTGGCCATTGGTAAATGGACAGTCCCACCTGGTGTTCAGAAGCCTGTGCCATCTGCCACAGAGATGTGTGCAGCAGTGCAAGCGCCTGGCATGGCACTGGGCTGGGAGACAGGGGCTGTCTGGTTTTGGGGAATGAGTGGACACAGCGTCAGCGGCACCATGCTGAGGTGGGCTACTGCCTCTCTCAGTCATCAGGCAGCCTGGCATTCTCACACAGGGAAGATGGCAGGAAATGAGGACATGGAATGGTGATATAGGAGCTTGAATAGTCAGATTTACCATGGTAGGTTAAGGGAGACAGGCAGGGGTCTTCTTATGGGACAGCACACCTAAAGCAGCCCCTTACTGCCCCTTACTTGCCCTGTACAAGGAGTCCCAGGTGGCACAATCTCACCTCAAAGTCGGCTCACACCTGCGGCTTCAGGGTGTGCCCACTTTGGCCCAGATGACCCAAGGAACCCACTGGAAAGCCAAGGAGGCCACAGTGGTCTCAAACAATGGGAACTGTTCTGTCCTATCACTCAGGCCAGCCAAAGCCATCGGCAGCTGCTGAGTGATAAACACACACTTGGATCCCAGGCAGGAAGTTGAGCTGGCCACCCACACTCAGACCTTGATAGACTCAAATCTGAGTTCAGGAGACTAGGGTCCCAGTTGAAGCCAATGCTCACTCCTGTGATCCTAGCTACTCAGGAGGCTGGGATCTGAGGGCCAATTTCGGAACAAGACTGGGCAGGAAGGAGCATGAGACCTCATCTGCGATTACTAAAGAAAAAAGAAGCCAGCTGGAAGTGGTGCTGTGGCTCAAGTGCTAGAGTGCTAGCCTTGAGCAAAAGGAACTTAGGGACAGTGGCCAGGCCCTGAGTTCAAGCCTGAGGACCAGCCCCAAAAAGGAGGGGGGGATGGGAGGAAGGGAATTCAAAGGCAAAGACTGCTGGGGGTACCCTGGAGGTTGTGGCCCTGTGTGTAAAGGGAGAGGAGATGGAGGAGATTGTCCAGCTGTGGGTAATTCACATCTCCTGCCTGATCATATCCTGTGCTAGGGATTTCCTTTCCACAGTAGAGCAGAAGGAAGATGCTGTGTTGGTGTTTGTGGGGAGGCCCTGGGGACGCTGCTGTGAGGAGGGTGGTTCAGCTAGGGGAAGGAAGGGTCTGGCCTTTAAACTTTCCTTTTGCTCTCTCCTTTGCTGTAGCCCAGTCCCATTACACTTGGGGTTCTTTCCCTGTTACTTTTCCCCATGGCTGCTCAGGCTGGCAGCCTGCTGCCTTGCCTGGGCTGGGCTGGGCTTGTCAAGGATGGAGACCTGGACGCGCCCTGGGCTGGGTGACAGGGGCCCTAGGAGTCCTGTAGGGTTCGAGGCGCAGCCCCACGGAGAAGCCCACGCGGATCGCACCCATTCCCGGCTTGGGACCTGAACTCACCGGCCACATTCCAGCAGAGCAGCCCGCAGAGCAGCCGCAGAATCCAGGTGTCCCGCGGTGCGGATCCGGAGTGTCCCGCTCGCGCCATGCTGGCTTCCCGTTCACCACGGCGGCGACCGCAAGCCTGAAAGCGCACAGCGCGCCTGAGCCCCGGGTCCCGCAGGCTCGAGCCCGCAGCTCCGTGCCCGCGCCCTCTCCCCGCGATCTTCCCAAGTCCGGCGACACCCTGGCCCTGGAGAAGAATCCGGAGAGTTCCAACGTCTTAAGGGAGCCAATCAGAGGAAGCTCCGTCATCTGCGCAGCTTCCTGATTGAATCTCAGGGCGAAGGACACGCCCAGACAAGTCATGCCGAGCCGTGGTTGGCCAGTGCACAAGAGTCACACTCTGCTTCTTCACCTGTAGTTTGGAAGCCACCAGGGTACGCAGCAGCAGCAGCCGAGCCAGGACGGTGTTCTGCTGGCACGGACCCTTGTTTTACAACTTCCTTGGGCGAAGCAGTCTGACTGAGCTCCCATAATTATTCCCCAACAAACTAACCAAAGGAAGAGCACCCGACAATGAAAATGACCAGGCAGCACATGCACGTGGATCTGAAAGAGGCCTGTGAACAGAGACCAGAAGCCGGCAGTGCGCATTTCTCAAGAAGTTATTTTTGCTTCATTAGCAGGTGCTAATGTAGCAGTGCTACAGACTTAATTTCACCTGTATTCAACTAAGCAAATATGAATGTTACTTTCCCTTTTCCTTTCCTTCTTACTTTGTTTTTCTTTCTTGTTTTCTCTCTTTCCACCTTTTTCTGTTTCATTTCTCTCTTTCTTCCTCTCCTTTTTTCTTTCTCTCTTTTTGTTTCATTCTCCGCCTCCCTCCCTCCCTCCTTTTCTTCCTCCTGTCCTTCTTCCCTCCCTCCTTCCTTCCCTCCCTCCCTCTCTCCCTTCCTTCTTTCCTTCCTTCTTTTTTTTGTGCCAGTCCTGAGGGTTCAAATCAGGGCTTGGCTACTGTCCTGGAGCCTTTTTGTGCTCAAGCTAGAACGTTACCAGTAAAGCCACAGTGCCACTGCCACTTTTTCTGTGATTTCATAGGAGATCAGAGTGTCAAGATGGATCCTCCCTGGGCTGGCTTTGAAGGAAGATTCTCAAATCTCAGCCTCCTGCTTAGAAGGATTATAGGTGTGAGCCACCAGCACCTGCCTGGAATATTTCTTATCTCTCTGTATCAACAATCATCTTCTCCAATGACCATGCCTGTCTTTGATTCTTCTTGCCCTAACATTTTTATTTAACATTATTTCGTTTTCAAAAACCTTTGAGTTTTATTTATTAACTAATTACATAAATTTCACAGTTTTGTGACAGAGTGATGCTTAGCTAAAGTCACAAACACATTTTACTCTTCACAATGCAAATCGCCCTTATTTTGATCTACAAAGCTTATGAACTGTACAAGCGTTAACAACAGAACTATTTCTTCCAAATGGGGTGATTGTTCCTTTCTTTGCTTTTGCACAGTGTCAGCTGTTCCCTCGTTCTCTCTCCCTCCCTCCCTCCCTCACTGCCCATGAGTTGCTTAGTTCTCTTTCCTCAATGTCCAGTGTAGCTATGGACCCCTCTGCTGTATTTTTTCACCCATTTTCCTCCAAATCTGTGCCTTCCTCCTAGCCTCCCTCAGATGTGCATGGGTATACACCATATATGGGGTCCAGAGCATAAAGCCATCTAGAAATGAACTGACAACTTAAGACACGGACCTTTGTTTCTTGACTCCTGTTTACTATGTCATATCTCATTGCATTGTGAAAGTAACATTGGCAGATCAGGGAGAACATGTGCGGTTTGTGTCTCTGATCTTGCATTATCTTGCTCAACATGATTTATTTTAGTCCCATCCATTTCCCTGCAAATGCCATTATTTTGTTCTTTCTAATGACTGTGTCATATTCTATTGTATACAGGTACCACCATTTTTGGATCCATTCATCTGTGGTGGGGCACCTGGGTTGTTTCCATATTCTGGCTAGCAATGAACATGGAGGGGCATACGTCCTTGTCATATCCTGGTTCCTGTTGCTCAGGGGAGATGCCTAGGAGTGGTATGGCTCGATGGTAGGGAAGGTCTATGTTTAGTTTTCTGAGGACTCTCCAGGCTGCTTTCCTGAGTGGTTGTATTAGTGTACATTCCCAGCAGCAGTGCAGTAGGGTTTCTCTTTCTCTGCATCCCCACCAGCATTTGTCATTGGCTGAATTTAGGAAGAGGGCCATTCTGACTGGGGTAAGGTGGTATCTCAGGGTTGTTTTTCTTTGCATTTCCTTTAGAGCCAGGGATGATGAACATGTCCTCATGTGTTTCTTTGCCATTTTTACCTCTTCTCCTGAGAAGTCTCTCTTTAGCTCCCTTGCCCATTTAGTGATTGGTTTGTTGGGAGGGGTTAGTTTCTTGAGCTCCTTGTATATACTGGGTATTAGGTCTTTGTCTGATATATTGCTGGTAAATATCTTTTCCTAATTGGTTGGCTGTCTTTCTAGTTTGGTAGCTATGTGTTCAGCTGTGCAGAAACTTTTAATTTTAAGGTAGTCTTATTGTTGAGTCTGTCTCCAATTTGTTGTGACCCTGGGACTCTGTTCAAGAAGTTCCTGCCTGTACCTCTAAGTTCTAGTGTCTCTCCTAGTCTGTCTTGCAGTACTTTCAGAGTTTCAGGTTTGATGTTGAAGTCTTTAATCAATTTTAAATTGATGTTAGTGCATGGTGACAGGTTAGGGTCCACTTTTAGTTTTCTGCATGTGGTTGCCTAGTTTTCCCAGCACCAATAGTTAAAGAAGCTATGTTTTTTTCTACTGTATGTCTCTGGGTCCTTTGTCAAATATCAACTGATTGTATATATGTGATTTTATTTCTGTGTCTTCAATTATATTCTATTGGTCTTTGAGTCTATTTTGTGCCACTACCTAGCTGTTTTTGTTATTATGGCTCTATAGTAGAGCTTGCAGTCAGGTGGTGTTATACCTCCTGCATTGCTTCTTTTGCCTAGAATTGCTTTGGCTAGTCTAGTCTTTTGTTGTTCCATATGAAATTTTGGGTTGTTTTCTCTATTTCAGTAAAGGACGTCATTGGGATTTTGATGGGAATTGCTTTCAATGGCAGTATGGCCATTTTCAGAATATTGCTTCTATCTATCCATGAGCAGGGAAGGTCTTTCCATTTCCCGGTGTCCTCTTTGATTTCTTTCTTTAGATTTTTATAATTTTCACTGAATAGGTCCTTTACAACTTTGGTTAGGTTAATTCCTAGATAGTTTATTCTTTTGGAGGTTATTGTGATTGGAGTTGTTTTCCTGACTTCCTTTTCTGCTTGTATATTGTTGGTGTACAGAAAGGCAACTGATTTTTGTGGGTTCATTTTGTATCCTGCTCCTTTGCCAAAGATCTAGGAACTTGAGACTGGAATTTTCTTTTTTTTGGTACAAGATCATGTCATCTGTAAATAGGGATAGTTTAATTTCTTCTTTCCGTATGTGGATCCCTTTCATTTCCTTCTCTTCCCTTATTGCACTGGCTAAGGATTTCCTTCGAGTGTTAATGAAATTGTTTTGTTTGTCAGTAGTAGGAATTGAACTGGGTGCCTCATGTTTGCTAGGCCAGCCCTGTACCACGTGAGCCATTCTCGAGTCCAGATTTAATACCATCTGAATACTCTCTTCCCCTCTCTTCTTGTGTAAGGATTCTTGTTCTGATCTTCCTCTTGGCCCAAAAGACACATCCTCCTGGTGATAATGTTTAGTGTGTTAGGCATGGCTCCTCCAAGATTAAGTCATTTAGGTTGATTTTTTCATAATGGCTGGTTCAGTCATTTGTTTTTTAGCCATGGTTAGGAAAGAGGAGGAATATGGGGCTGTGAACAAAAGACAAAGATGTGGCCAGCAATGAGCACAGTTGATATCATGATTTGAGTTCAATAACAATATCAGTTAGGGGCTGGGAATGTGGCTTAGCGGTAGAGTGCTTACCTTGCATGCATGAGGCCCTAAGTTCAATTCCTATGTACCACATAATCAAAACTAAATACAATTAAATTTAAAATCCTCAGTTAAGATATAATAAGTTAAAGCAGAATATTTAAAATTTTTACTTTACTTGTTTCACTATATCATGCGGTTATTATAAAATTTAGAATTACGCATGTGCCTTGATTGTGGCTTGCACTGCATTCCTTGTCTATAATTGCTCACTTGTCTATAATTTCCCTATTTTGATTTTCTTTTTCCCTCCTTGTATCTGCTTATATAGAAATATAGAATTTGAAAGAGAATAGCACCATACTGAAAACAAACAGAAACCCCAGATCTTTTTGTCAGTCGTGGGGCTTGCACTCTGGCCTTGGGCGCTGTCCCTCAGCTCAAGGCGAGTGCTCTACCACTTGAGCCACAGTGCCCCTTTCAGTTTTCTGATAGTTAATTGGAGCCAAGAGTCTCCAGGACTTTCCTTCCCAGGCTGGGTTTGAATCATGATCCTCAGAGGTCAGCCTCCTGAGGAGCTAGGATTCCAGGGGTGAGCCACCAGTGCCTTGCTGCAACCCCAGCTCTTTACTACACTTCCTGCTGCTCCATACATGTAGGCATGGCAGAAATATGCTCCCTCTGTCTTCCCTGCCTCTGTTCCTTGGGTCTCACACACTCATGTGAGCCTCTTAGAATCTACCTCAGATTTCAAGAAGACAGGACTTGACCTCGAGGTTTAGGTCTGGCCCTGCAGTACCACAGTGGCCAGTCATCCGGGTCCTGAATATAGACTTCAAGGTCGTTCATCTCGCTGATGTCACATTGGTTCCTGGGCCTCACAGGAATCAGCTGCCTACAGGACCCATATGGGAATATTCCAGGCTCTCCAGGTAAGGCCCACTCACAGTGGCATTGAGCTCCTTTGGATCCTGGAGTAGTGAGTGCTCATGGTGGTGTACACCCACCCGAGCACCCAGGACCTCTGGGCCTCGGATGTTGTCCTACATGATAAGGAGTCCTAAGACAATCAAGGGCAGGTGAGTGGTGGTGGTGCCATGTCACCTGGGCCTCCTCCTCCACGGGTTGTTGGTGCTGATGGGGATGTGGCTGTTGCTCACTAGTTCCCTTGTTCCTGGGTTCCTGTGAAGTGAGGCTGTGTCCTGCAGCCACTTTGAGGAGACTGCATGGAGGAAGGCGTCTGTGTGGGCTCAAATAACATGCTTCAGTATGTCTGTCCTCCTGAGCCAAATCTTTCTCTGGTCCTTAATTCCTGGGAACTGCCCTGGCTTGGCTGCCTTCAGCTCTGGCTGTTTCTGTTTTCAGTGTCCCAGTGAGTGAGTTCTTTTCTCTAGGTTCTCGTATGTTCCTGTGGTCTCTGATTTTTAGGGTAGTACTAGGGTTTGCACTCAGGATCTCACACTTGCTTGCCAGGTGCTTTCCCACGTGACAATCTTCCATGCCTTTCAAAATAATTTTTTTTTTTGGGTCCAGTTGTGGGGCCTGAACTCTGGGCCTGGGCGCTGTCCCTCAGCTCTTCAGGTCAAGGCTAGCGCTCAATCACTTCAGCCACTGCGCCACTTCAAAATAATTTTTTATTGTGATTAAATGATTATGTAGATTTCACAAATTTCACAGAACTCTGAGATGGTGATACTTAGTTAAATTCACAAACACATTCTTACCTTCATGAGGGAAATTGTCATGATCATGGTCTATAAAGTTTGTGAATTCTATGAGCTTTGACAATACAGCTCTTTCTTCCATGTCAGGTGGTATGTATATTTTTTCCCTTTTGCTTAGTGTGAGCTGTTTCCTCTTTCCTTCTCATTCCCTCCCTCCCATTGCTGCCCTTGAGTTGCTTAATTCGTTTCCATCAATGTCCAGCATAGCTGATGTGTCCCTCTGTTGTATGTTTTCCCCTGCTTCCCTCTGATTCTGTGTTCTCCCCCTAGTTTTCCTCAGATATGTGCATACATCTACCATTCATGTGGTCCACAGCACGGGGTCAGTTAGTAATGATACAGCAAGATGAGTGGAGGTCCTTTGTTTCTCAAGTCCTGTTTACTTTGTCTCCTTACATTTGGTATTTATTATCCCCATATCAGAGAGACCATGTGCTGTTTGTCTCTTTTCTCTTGGCTTACCTCACTCAAAATGGTTTTTTTCCTTATTTCTTTCTATTTCCCTGCGAGTGCCATTATTTTATTCTTTCTGGTTGCTGTGTAATATTCCATTTTGTATAGGTACCACAGGTTTTGGTCCATTCATCTGTGGTGGGGCCTCTGGGTTGTTTCTGTATTCTGGCAATTGTCAACAGCGCTGCAGCGAACATGGGGGTGTACGTGTCATTGTATCCAGCTTCTTCTTACTCAGGGCAGATGGCTAGGAGTGGTATTGCTGGTTGTAGGGCAGGTCAATATTTAGCATTGTGAGGTCCCTCCAGACTGCTTTCCAAAGTGGCTGTGTTAGTGTGCTTTCTCACTAGCAGTGCAGTAGGTTTCTCTTTCTCTGCATTCCCTCCAGCATTTGTTGTTGGCTGAATTTAGGATGTGGGTCATTCTGACTTGGGTAAGGTGTTATCTCAGGGTTGTTTTTATTTGCATTTTCTTTACAGCCAAGGGTGATGAACATATCCTTACGTGTCTCTTTGCCATTTTTACCTCTTCTTCTGAGAAGTCTCTCTTTAGCTCCGTTGCCCATTTAGTAACTAGTTTGTCAGGTTTTGAGGGGTTAGTTTCTTGAGTTCCCTGTATGTAATGGATATTAACCCCTTGTCTGATATATTGCTGGAAATATTTTTACCCAATTAGTAGGTTGTCTTTCTAGGTTCATTGCTCTATTTTTAGCTGTGCAGAAATTTTTTAAGGTAGTCCCATTTGTTGAGTCTGTCTCCAATTTGTTGTGACCCTGGGACTCTGTTCAGGAAGTTCCTGCCTGTGCCTCTAAGTTCAAGTGTCTCCTCTAGTCTATCCTGCAGTAGTTTCAGAGTATCAGGTTTGAGGCTAAATACTTCAATACACTTTGAGTTGATGTTGGTGCATGGTGACAGGCTGGGGTGCACTTTTAGTTTTCTGCATGTGGTCACCCATTTTTCCCAGCAGCAGTAGTTGAAGAGGCTGTGCTTCTTCCACTGCATGTCTTTGGCTCCTCTGTCATATATCAGGTGACTGTAGCATGTGTTTTTTTTTTCTGGATCTTCTAAGCTATTCCATTGGTGTTCAGGTCTGTTTTTGGTGCCAGTACCAAGCAGGCTTTGTTATGATTCTCTATAGTAGAGTTTGAAGTCTGGCATCTTGGTCACACCCGTGTTTTTGTTTGTTTGGTTGTTTGTTTTGCCTAGACTTGCTTTGGCTATTCTAGGTCTTTGTTGTTCCATATGAACCTTTGGATTGTTTTCAGTGAAGCATGTCATTGTCTCTTGCATATTGATTTATCACATGTACCTTAGTACAAGTATACAGACACCTCTCCATAGCTATACATCTACCATTTGTCTACATTCTGTATGGGTGTACACAGTTACTAGGGAAGATAGTAAGGTGAGTGTTAGGTTTTCAAAGAAGAGGCCAAGAACGACACCATACACATGATACTCAGATAAGAGGTAGGCTCATTCATCATTCTGGCTGGCACCAGGCAATGTTGGCACTCCACCCGGTTGGGAAAGAGGAGCGTCTGGCCTTGGGCTACCCCTTATCAAGATTGACGGGGGGGGGGGGGGCGGGTAAGTGGCAGGGAGATGTGGCCACTTCAATCTAGATGTGAACTCAGCGGATGTAGGTGTGATCACTTCCAGGTGTACCAGTTGCCTAGATAACACAGGTACTGAGCAGAGACTTTGCTACTAGAAAGGTGTTCTGCTCACCATCCAGGAGTGGACTTTACTTTCCAGCCTTTAGATAATCATGAAATAGGGTGCGGGGATTCTCTCTGGCTACTTCCAGCTGACAAGGGGCTCCACATTAGGGATCAAAGGCTATAATGTGGTTCCCTCTCAGAGAAGGCAGGGGGCAGCAGCTGTCCCTTGGTAGGCTTGAGTCCTTCCATGAAGTTGGAGAAAATCTCATGGGGCATTGAGGGGTTGGAAAAAGATACTGGAGAGCAAACAAATGGCAGGAGGAAGGACTTGGGGCTGAAAGTTAAAAATTGGATGACTTGGCAAGAATGGCTTGTTCCTATCTCCTGCATTCCAGGCTGTCCTGACATTGGTAGAAATGTCCCTAACTACTTCTGACATCTGGCGACTAGATAGGGGAGAACGTCAGGTAACAAAGGCAAGAATGTAAATTCCTGTCCAGTTCAAAGGCAGACAGGGTGGCCATTAGATGGGCAGGCTCTGACTTCTATTGACTCTGATTAATTTTGGAAGGCAGGCACAAAGTACCTGATGTCACATCATCCCCTCTTACTCCTCTCCATGGTCCCTTGTTCCCCAGACTGGTTGAGTCCAAGGAGTCTAGGTGCTCATTGCTGGGATGGCTTGTCCTAGTTTGTATTCACAGAGGTTTGAACTCAAGGTCTGGGAACTGTCACTGAGCACTTCTGCTCAAGGCTAGTGCTCTACCACTTTGAGTTATAGTACCACTTCCAGTGTTCACTGGTTAATTAGAGATAAGAGTCTTGAGCCATGCTTCCAGCCTGGCTCTTTCCAGATTAGTTGGGAGATGGAGTTGCAGGATTTTTTTTTTGTTGTTGTTGTGGATTGGCTTTGAACTCCAATCTTTGCCACAAAACCCTTTATTATTTCCAATTAAAGCAACAAGGAGATCAAATAGAATAAGTAGAGCTTACCTGCTCCTTATCAAGAATTGAGTAACAAATATTCTGCAAGGACAAAACCTGTTAGATGTGATGAGAATCTTAGCACAGATACACCCAATATTTCAGAACCACAGAGTCAGTAGTAGAATACACAACACCAAACAAAAGAGGCAAAACTCAAAACCTAAAATTTTTGACAACAATGTTTAGACATCTTTGCTAACAAACACATCAGATGATTGGGCCTTTATTTCCAGGGCCTGTGAAGAGGCAGCAACTTGTTAGTAAGGCACATTAGAATAAATGGGTGGAGGGGTAGTAAGCTTGGTGGAAGGTTAAGGGTCAGATGAGACTAAACCCTTAAGCCACCATGTGGCCAAGATGGCAAATTTCTGAAAAAAAATGCAAAGAAAGCCTGAACAAATACAAACTCTTGACAATTTTCAAACCTAGAGTGGCTGGCCTTAGAGAGAGCACCTAGAGGGGGGTCCCCTGGACCCAGCCTGTGCCGGAGTCTTCAGGGCACAAGCGAAAAAGTTGTAGAAAAGAAAGGGAGAGATGTAGAAAGTTGGACATGATTAGCAGAGAGCAAAGAGAGCCTGAAAGTGAACAGACTTCTGAGCATTTACCATTGCAGAGGCAAAAATTGTCTAACTCTGGGAATGGCAGAGACTCCCGGGATCGCAGGAGTCATTTCAGAGGGGTTTCATGGCTCAGGAGTGACACACAGCACCCCATCCAAAAATATAGGAGAAAAAATTAGTGGAAGCAGCGTCCTGACTAACCAGAGAGCCCTCTAGGGAGGAGTGGCCAAGCAACCAGAGTCAAGTGTCCTTGGCCCCAGAGGTGACCGGCCTTTCATTAAAGGCCTAGCAGGTTCTATGGCATGGTACCACATGTGGAGAGAGACTGAGGGACAGAGAACCCTTAGAGAGTAGTTCACTCACCAAAATGTAGAAGCGTGCAGGTAGATACAGAGGTCAGCAATGGTACTGGGCTGTGTCTGAGGCAGACAGACCAGTTCACAAAAAAGCCATCAGAACTGGGGCTATTTCTCAGAGCAAAAGAAGGAAAAAAAGCCGGGTGCCAGTGGCTCACACCTGTAATCCTAGCTACTCAGGAGGCTGAGATCTGAGGATCATGGTTTAAAGCCAGTCCAGGCAGGAAAATCTGTGAGACTCTTATCTCCAATAAAAACCAATAGAAAATCAGAAGTGGTTCTGTGGCTCAAGTGGTAGATGGCTTGGCTTGAGCTTAAGAGCACAGGGAAAGCGCCCAAGTCCAGAGTTCAAGCCCCATGACCGACCAAACAACAACAACAACAAATGGAAGAAAGGAAAAAAACAACAAGAGGAATCCCACCTATCCTGACTTTAGGCCCTTCTTGGGTTCATGGCACCATTTATGTTAGGTTTTTAAAGAAGAAGCCAAGTAACAACAACACCAGGCATGTGGTACTCAGGTAAGGGATAGGTTTATTCATCCTTCTGGTTGGCACCTAGCCATGTTGGCCCTCCACACTGTTGGGAAAGAGGAGCTTCTGTGCCTGGGCTAGGCCTTATCTAGGGTAGGGGCAGGGAAAAGTGTGGCCACATCAATCCAGATGTGACCTCAGCAGATGCAGATGTGACCTCTTCCAGGTGTGCCAGTTGCCTAGGTAACGCAGGTACTGGGCGGAGACTTGGCTGGGAGGAGGGTGGAGTCTGCTCGCCATCTAGGAGCGGACCTTACAGTAAGTAGTGATTTTATACACAGATGCTAGAACCAGTGTGGTGTTTCAAATGCTGTTTGTATAACAGGTAGCACCTGTATTTTTTTACCTCTCTCTCCAAGACTTCCTTTTTATTGTTGTTGTTGTTGGTCATGGGGCTCCAACTCAATGCCTGGGTGCTGTTCGTGGTTTTTGCTCATGGGTAGTGCTCTACCACTTTGAGCAACAGCTCTGTTTCTGGTTTTCTGGTGGCTCGTGGGACTTTTCCAGCCCAGGCTGGCTTTGAGCTGCTATCCTCAGATCTCAGCCTCCTCAGTAACTAGATGACAGGTATTAGCCATTGGCACATGGCTTCTGGTGGTGTTTTGAATGGTGACGTTGACTTCTTGATCTTCATTGTGACCAGTGCAGACTCAGTGATCTCCTTGGAAATCTTGAACATTTCCTCGATCAAATTTTAGTTAGTTGAGCAGTGCTCTTCTGAACCAGAACAGATGTATATACAGAGGGCTTGCACAAAGAGTACATTTCTTTTTGGACAATGTCACCCCTTCCCTGGCATTCTTTCAGTTTTTTTCCTTCCATCTCCACCCACAAGCAATTCATTTACTTTATAGTATCCAGGGAGTTCCAACAGTGCATTTAGAACTGGGACTCTTGAAGTCTGTTTCACCACTCACTTCCGGATTTTAACCTTTCCACCACCTTATGGTAGGTTTGAGCTTGTACAGCTGGGCTTCAAAGCAAGATGGCTTTAGAGATGTAAGCCAGTGGCTCATGCCTAGAATCCTAGCTACTCAGGAAGCTGAGATCTGAGCATTGCAGTTTGAAGTCAGCATGGGCAGAAACGTCTATGAGACACTGATCTCCAATTGATCACAGAAGAAGCTGTCAGTGGAGCTGTGGTTTGAGTGGTAGAGGGCTAGCCTTGAGCAAAGGGAGCTCAGGGAACATGCCCAGGCTCAGAGTTTAAGCCCCAGCACCAGCAAACAAACAAATACACAAAAACAAAAGTAAGGTGACATGAGGATGTTGGTTCAGGGGGATGGAGGTTCGTGTCTTCTTCTCCCCCACGATGTCAGCGCCTTGCCCTGCCATGGACTGTGTGTGAGCACTGCTTCTGCTGGGCCCGGCCTTGGCTGCCTGGCACTGCTGCTGCAAGATGCCTGTCAGTTCCACGTCTCCCAAGCTTTCTCTCTCCCACTTTACTTCAGTTTTACACTCAAGTAATGAGTCAGTTTGGTTTTTTTTTTTTATTGAGATTAGGTGATTACATAAATTTCACATATTTCACAGTATTGTGGAATAGGGATGCTTAAAGTCACAAGCACATTTTAACCTTCACAAGGATGTCAATAAGGATTTAAAATTTAATTTTATATGACTTAAATATATTACTGTATGTATTAGGATAAATACATATTACTTTAATGTACAAAGGGGTACAGTTACATAAGATGGGCATACTGTACATTTCTCCTTGGCCCATGCTCTTCCCAGTTTTTCCCTCCCAACCCCAGTGACAAGTTGTATGGTTCATTTGGAACGTAGTGTCTAGTGAATACCACTGTTACATTTGTTCATTGGTGTTAGTAGTTTTTAGCAAAAGTAGTTTCTAAGTATTCAGTGGGCCCTGAGTAAAACAAATGAACTAAAACACCCAAAACAGAATGCTAGAGTCATCATGATATATGATATCCAAATATTGATACGAAGTCAGGTGGCTCATGCCTGTAATCCTAGCTACTCAGGAGGCTGAGATCTGAGGATCACGGTTCAAAGTCAGCTCAGGCAGGAAAGTCCATGAGGCTCTTATCTCCAGAAAACTGGAAGTGGCACTGTGGCTTAAGTGGTAGAGCACATGCTTTGGGCTGAAGAACTCAGGGATAGTGTCCAAATCCAGAGTTCAATCCCCACAACCCATTAAAAAAAGCATAGCATGAATTGTTTCTAACATATTTATAAGATGAGTTCTTTGTTGCTTTGTATGTCCCTCCCCCACGGTATAACCCCTGTTTTCACTGTATTTGATGTTGGTATAATTTGTGAAGATGAAGGGAAAAAACCAATTGTTTTAAAAGGGATACAGGTGGACCTACTGCAGCAATGAGATGTAGAAGATGTTATATCAAAAAACCAACTTTACAGCTTGGAAGTAGGGGGCTAGGGAGGTGGGGGAGAGTGTTGATGGGAGGGCAGGGATGGTAAGAGAAACAAAGGAGGAGGCAATAATGCTTGATAAGAAATGTACCCCTTACCTTGCTCATGTAATTGTAACAGTATTTTCACAATAAAACACTTATTAATTAAAAAATAAAATAGAATGTGATTATCATATAAATGGATACATAAAGCTATAAAATACAATGGAAGACATATATAGATATGCATAAATAGGCAGATAAATAGATATGAATATGAATATATGCATATAGATATATAATCTATATGTATAAGATTTTAAATAGATCATGGAATTTTAATGGCAATATTAGTTATAATACACAGGTCACATTCAGAGATTCAAGTATTGAATTATACCCTGCCAACACAGAATCTGTTGTGCTATTGAGATTTCTTGTTCAAAGCTATTAGGAACCTAACTATACAATTCCATCATGTAGCTACAAGAGAAAATGGCCTAACATGTTAAAAATGTGCTGAGTAAAAATAACACAAAATGGAATAAAATCCTGAGATGTTGAGGTTACAATATTTCCTTGGATCCTTGAATCTCAGGAGACAATAAGTAGCACCCAAGCAATGGAGGAAAGGGGTGTGGCTACCATGGTGGTCAGGAGAGTTAAAGCACCAGTCAGAAGAGTCTGCCTTACAGTGACCCAGGGCGTGGGCTAATGGTGATCCTCAAATGAGAAAAGATGGAAGGTCTACTAAATTCTCATATTGATCTCGAGGAGCAGAAGAGCTGGGCTGAGTGTAAGTTTGGCTGGAGGCTCCTAGATTTGCCGTTTAACTTCCTTGTGGTTGAGAACTAGTATCAGGCGGTGCTTTGGCAAGTGCTGGACATGGAGAGTTACCTCACTCACAGCACCATGTGCTCATCAGCTTCTTGGTAGCATCTTCAAGTTTTTTTCTTTTTTAACTTGTACAAGGCCTTGAACTCGGGGGCAGAGAGCTGTCCCTAAGCTCCTTTATTTTGTTGGCCGTGGGGCTTAAACTCTGGCCCTGAGTGCTGTCCCCTAGTTCTTCAGCTCAAGACGAGAGCTCTACCACTTGAGATACAGCTCCACTTCTGTTTTTCTGGTGCTTTACTAGAGATAAGAGTCTCTCAGGGTTTTCTAGCCGCGTCTGGCTTTGAACCGTGATCCTCAGAGCTCAGCCTCCTGAGCAGGTAGGATGACAGGTGTGAGCCACCAGCGCCCAGCCCTAAGCTCCTATGGCCCAAAGCGAGCACTCTCCCACTTGAGCTACAATGCCATGGCTTTCTTTGGTGATTAATTGGAGGTACGAGTTTCATGGACTTTCCTGCTCCCACTGGCTTTGAACCTCACTCCTCAGATGTCCTCTCAGGCCTTTTATTCCATTCTGTGTTATTTTGGCGTTTGGCATTCTTCTTCCTTTATAAACAAACAAGGAAACACATGATTGCAAGTTCCTGAGGAAACCTTGGGTCAGTGCTTCTGAGGGACCTTTCTCAGTCACCCCATCCCAGAGCTCCCCTCACTAAGTGTCATGTGTCTCCCTCACCCATCACCTCCGCTCCTTACAGCCATTTCCCATAACCCACATTCAGCTGCAGGGCCTCTTATAGATTATGGTGCTCAGGCCTGAAGCTGTAATGCCTGACTTGCTCCTTGATCTACACTCTGCTCTAAGGGGTGGCCAGACCATAGACAAGGGTCTGGTTTCTGGTTGCCCTGGCATTGGGGCAACTACTCACCTGGGATCCACACAGTTCTGATGTCATGACCCTGTCTCCACCTTGTGCATTCCTGGTCAGCTCAGCTGGGGAAGCACTTGATACCAGCCACAGCTTAATCCCCTCTGTCTCTGGGGTTAAATCTGCTCTGAGGAGAGGCCACTGAGCTGGTTCAGGATAGAACACCTACAGGAGGCTGGATGCCAGGTGGCTTCTAGATTCCAAGGGTCCTCACTGGTCTGTTTTCCTTCTAGCCTGAGGCTGGGCCAACTGGACTCTCAGCTTCCTACCTCAACGACTCAGACTTCAGGCCACATTGCATGGGAGTGCAGCCCTGAACTTCTTCTGCTTCTGAGTTGGGTCAGGAAAGGCCTTTCCAGTTGCCTAGCTTGGGAATGAGACACTGGCCACCCTCCTGTTCATCTGTAAGATGGAATCACCTTCATGTCTACACATCAAGGACAGAGCTACCAAGCTGTTACATTCCAATTGGATATTTTCCTTTTTTGTGTTCCTGCTGTTCCCACACAAGTATCACTGGACCCTCACAATTGGGTAGCTGATGTGAACTAATTCTGCTAAACCCTTTTAGAATCAATAGGCCATATCTTGGTAGAGCCCCTCCTTATCCCACTGCTCTGTGAGAGGGAACATTGCTGATATGGGCACTGAATATGCCCAAGCTATTGCCATCAAGTGCTAGGAGGTGGACTTCTCCTGTCTCCTGTCACCATGAGAAGAGGCATTGATGGACTGGAGTAGGACACTAGGAATTCATTTTTACATCCTCAGTCTTCACCTATCTGCCCCTCTTTCCTTCCCAATTGTGCCCAGAGCATCCGTTAACTCAAAGACTCACCTTGGTTGACAAATAAGGTGGATAAGGCAAGGCATAACACAACATAGATGTTGAGTGTGATTCTGGTGCATTTGTTTGGGGTTGGCTGAGCTGAAATAGAAACATGAACGTCAGTTCTTGTCTGGTCTCCAGATCTTAAGTGGCAGGTCACTAGCCTCTGCTGCCTCAAGTAACTTAATAATGTCTCCCGTTCCTATCCTGCTGTTCTGGGGTGGCTGGTGAGGCTGGTGGTGAGGGAGAGAGCACTGCCTACTGTTCTGAAGGAGCTCATGGGAGAAGCCAGAGTTGGAAAAGTAACCTATGTTGCCTTCTGGCAGAAGAGAGGTGAGCCATGAAAATGGTGGGAGAGAAGGGCCTCGGGAGCTGCCCTGGGAGGTGGTTCTTTTGCTTAAATTTAATTTGATTGTAAAGGTGATGTACAGAGGGCTTACAGTTACAAAAGTAAGCTATGAGTACATTTTTTTCAAGCACTGTGACCTGCTGCCTGGTTTTCTCCTGTCTTCCCTCCCCCCTGGAAGGTGGCTCTGAAGGCTCTGTGGAAATGGATCAGGGGAGATGAGAAAGAATAGTGACTCTAGGAAAAGGCACCAATAAGAGGAGAGACGTGGAAGAAGAAGAATGTCTGCAGCCCAGAGGCAGCGAGAAGTCAGCAGTGGATGGAGAATTTGGAGAAAGAGGGCAACACAGATCAAAAGAAGTGTGGGCAGTGAGATTGAGAAGTCAGGGAGATAAGAAGAGAAGAGATGGAAGGATTGCACCTCTGACCACTCATCGAAGGAAAAGTCACCATGAAACCATCACTTGCCTAGGTTTAGAAGCGCGCTCTCTGTCTTTCTTTATTTCTTTCTATCTTCCTTCCCCTCTCTCTCTCTCTCACAAACACACACACACACAAACATATACACACGTCAGAAATATGTCATCTGAAGAGAGGTACCACTGTTTTCTGCTCCTGCCAACTTACCTGTGAGCTGCATTTCCTGCCAGGGACCCCAAAACTGCTTCAACCAGCTTGCACAGTCTCCTACTAAGGTCTTGTGGAAGACGTCAGTCACAGACCTGTCTTCTTCCAAAATCTTTTTTATCCAGCTGGATCCAGGATGGACCTCTGTCCATTGCTGGGTGTTGGAGTCAAAGTGGAGTAGTATCTGGCCATTGTAGACTAACTGCCAGAACCCACTGATTTTTCCATTGCCTTCAGGCTGACAAGACATTTTGCCCAGTAGGGTGCAGGGATCTTCTCCTGGGAAAGAGATGGAAAGAAAGCAGACTCTGGTCTTGACACATGCGTTCCTTTCCCTCCTTCCCTTCCCTGTCTCCTCCCTCCTCCTTTCTTCCTGCTACAGAGTTTTGAACCCCTGACCTCCCACTCTAACTTAGCTTTTCAGTTTGTTGGAGATATTTCTGCTGGGGCTAGCTTCAAAGCCAGATGCTCAGATCTTAGCCTTCCAAATAGCTAGGATTATAGGCCTGAGCCACCAGTGTCCAGTGTTTCTCCCCTTGTTTTCTCTCCTCTCCTCTATTTTCCACATCACAGCCTTCACGGTGGACTTGTTGGAATCAACATTCAGGGTTTGTTTTTTTTTACATTTAAGTCATGCATTCCCTGTATCTGCCACCATACCTGCTCCTTCCTTCTCAGGACCATTTGGAACTTACCCTTGGTTGTACCACTCTCTAATTTAATGTGAGCCAGTTGCTGTCTGAGGATGTCCCCTATGTCTTTCAGAATATCAGGTTGCTTTTGCCAGGCCTCTGTTTTAATCACTTTCAACCCGAATAGGCCCACAGGATTGCATGTGTCATTGCTACTGTTGTAGTAAAGGAATGTATGTTGATCCACTTGGCCGTAAGCTTCATACCACCACTGTCTCGAAACAACAGTGATGTTATAGGAAAGAGAGTGAGCATCTGTGGGGGAAGACATACAATGAGGTTTGAGATAAAGAGCAAGAAATCCAGAGACACCCTGTCCCTCAAGACTGTGACACCAAGAAAATCCCTCAGGTAGTTGAAGCTGGCAAAAAAGGAAAAAATTAACATTCTTTTTGGTCCTTCTTCTGCACTAGTAAAGTGTAGATCCTCCTCCATGGTTTGAGGAGGAAGAGAGGGCCCTGCCTGCCCAGAAAGCATGTATTCCTGTTCTACCTGCCCTCTCTCTCAGGCAGATACCTGTATTCATAAGCATAGGATTTTGGCATGGAAATGCCAGGTTGCTATGTCAAGCAAAGTTCTGAGAAGGGCATTGCAGAGTGGACAAAATATGAAGCATGTCTAGAGACATATCCAGTCCAATCTGCTCCATGGGAAGGCATACAGGGCTGCTGCTTACCAAGCATACAAAGAATAGCCAGTGAATGAAGTGCTTCTGTTTTCGAAAGATCAGTGAACTGAATACCTAGGGCTGGTGGGAGGAGATGGCAGTACAGTCCCAATAGAAAGACTCCAGGTAGGGTGCTCAATCCACGTGGACAATGGGGGACAACGGTCGATATAATCCAAGGGTGGCTGTCGCCAGGGGCCTGGTCCCCAGAGGGCTCTGCCAAGGTTCATAGAATCCAAATTTTCTCAACATCATAAGTTTGCCACAAACCCAGATATGGCTGCATCAGAGGAGTTGAAGACAAATCCCAGAGATGGGTGATCAGGAGGCCAAGGCTGCCATTCCCAGAAAAGCTGGCTCCTGTGCCAGGTTTCCAGAAGTGATCCACTGCTCATACAGACCCACAGTTCTTTCTCAAGTGGAGAGCAGGTTCACAGAAGGAGGAGCCTTCAAACCCCGCCCCCCCATCAATAAATGCTTCTTTCTGGCTCACTGCATTGCACTCATGCACTAGGTCTCCAGGGCCAGGCATGAACTTTCCAGAGGCTGTCAGGAAGGGCAACACTGTAACAACTGCAGGCTTTCCAGGCTAGAGACTCTGCTCCTATAGCTTGGAAGCAGCCACAGGTAACCCATGAATGGCTGATGTGTCTGTCCTTGCCCCTAGAGCCCTATGATCAAGGCAGGCTGTGACCCTGAGAGGTGTATGCTGGGCAATCGTGCTGTGTGGAATTCTTGGCCATTGGTAAGTGGACAGTCCCACCTGGTGTTCAGAAGCCTGTGCCATCTGCCACAGAGATGTGTGCAGCAGTGCAAGCGCCTGGCATGGCACTGGGCTGGGAGACAGGGGCTATCTGGTTTTGGGGAATGAGTGGACACAGCGTCAGCAGCACCATGCTGAGGTGGGCTACTGCCTCTCTCAGTCATCAGGCAGCCTGGCATTCTCACACAGGGAAGATGGCAGGAAATGAGGACATGGAATGTGATGTAGGAGCTTGAATAGTCAGACTTACCATAGTAGGTTAAGGGAGACAGGCAGAGATCTTCTTATGGGACAGCACACCTAAAGCAGCCCCTTACTGCAGAGCACAGGACTGAGATTGCCCTGTACAAGGAGTCCCAGGTGGCACAATCTCACCTCAAAGTCGGCTCACACCTGTGGCTCACACCTGCGGCTTCAGGGTGTGCCCACTTTGGCCCAGATGACCCAAGGAACCCACTGGACAGCCAAGGAGGCCACAGTGGTCTCAAACAATGGGAACTGTTCTGTCCTATCACTCAGGCCAGCCAAAGCCACAGGCAGCTGCTGAGTGATAAACACACACTTGGATCCCAGGCAGGAAGTTGAGCTGGCCACCCACACTCAGACCTTGATAGACTCAAATCTGAGTTCAGGAGACTAGGGTCCCAGTTGAAGCCAATGCTCACTCCTGTGATCCTAGCTACTCAGGAGGCTGGGATCTGAGGGCCAATTTCGGAACAAGACTGGGCAGGAACGAGCATGAGACCTCATCTGCGATTACTAAAGAAAAAAGAAGCCAGCTGGAAGTGGTGCTGTGGCTCAAGTGCTAGAGTGCTAGCCTTGAGCAAAAGGAACTTAGGGACAGTGGCCAGGCCCTGAGTTCAAGCCTGAGGACCAGCCCCAAAAAGGAGGGGGGGTGGGAGGAAGGGAATTCAAAGGCAAAGACTGCTGGGGGTACCCTGGAGGTTGTGGCCCTGTGTGTAAAGGGAGAGGAGATGGGAGGAGATTGTCCAGCTGTGGGGTAATTCACATCTCCTGCCTGATCATATCCTGTGCTAGGGATTTCCTTTCCACAGTAGAGCAGAAGGAAGATGCTGTGTTGGTGTTTGTGGGGAGGCCCTGGGGACGCTGCGGTGAGGAGGGTGGTTCAGCTAGGGGAAGGAAGGGTCTGGCCTTTAAACTTTCCTCTTGCTCTCTCCTTTGCTGTAGCCCAGTCCCATTACACTTGGGGTTCTTTTCCTGTTACTTTTCTCCATGGCTGCTCAGTCCGGCTGCTGGCGAGCTGGGCAGGGCTGGGCTGGGCTGCGGTGGGCGCGGGGGAGACCGGCTGCGCCCTGGGCTGGGTGACAGGGGCTCCAGGAGTCCTGTAGGGGGGCGTGACTCAGCCCCACGGGGAAGCCCACGCGGATCGCACCCATTCCCGGCTTGGGAGCTGAACTCACCGGCCACATTCCAGCAGAGCACCCCGCAGAGCAGCCGCAGAATCCAGGTGTCCCGCGGTGCGGATCCGGAGTGTCCCGCGCGCGCCATGCTGGCTTGTTTCCCGCGGACCGCGGTGGCGACCGCGCGCCTAAAAGCGCACAGCGCGCCTGAGCCCTGGGTCCCGCAGGCTGGCCCGGCTGGCTCGCGGCTCCGGGCCCCTCCGCTGGAGCCCGCAGCTCCGTGCCCGCGCCCTCTCCCCACGACCCTCCCGTGTCCGGCGTCACCCCGGCCCTGGCGAAGAATCTGGAGAGTTCTAAGGTCTTAAGGGCGCCAACCCATGGAAGCTCCGTCATCCGCGCAGCTTCCTGATTGAATCTCAGGGCGAAGGACACTCCCAGACACGTCACGCCCAGCCGTGCGTGCCAAGTGTCCAAACGTCACACTCTGCTTCTTCAGCTCTAGTTTGGAAGCCACCACCATACGCAGCAGCAGCAGCGGAGCCAGGACCTTGTTCTGCTGGCACGGACCCTGCTTCACATCTTCCTTGGGCGAAGCAGTGTGTTATTCATCTTAGTTACCACAAGACTATTTCTCTTTTCTTTTCCTTTCTTTTTCTTTCTTTCTTTGTTTCTTTCTATCCTTTCCTTTCTTTCTATTTTTTTAGTAAATGTTTCCGTTTTTCCATTTATTTTCCATGTTCCTTAAAAACAACCCCCCGTAAGTCTGATATGGCATTTAAAAATATTATACACCAAACAGAACAAACCCTCCCTCATTTATCCTGCAAGTGGGTCTATGTTCTCTTTGTTTCTGTTTGCCAGATGATCTTCAATAAGTTCTGCAAACAGATTCCTCTTCAACAGATTATATGCAAGAGGTAAAAGTTGGCCAGCGACTTTATGAAAATAATGTGAACTGTAGCAAAAGAGGTCCATTCCCAATTCAAGCCCCATGCCATAATCGCGTTCGTCATTAGCACACTGCGCAGAGGTCATCATTCCCTGAATAGGAGCAAATGCCTTTAGTCAGTCTCTCCAGACCTTTTGCAGCCTCAGCAATTGTCTTGCAAATTCTCTTAAGGCCAGCATCTGTTTCAGGGAGCTCTCTATATCCAACATCATTTTTATCTACTGGGACAACCAGGCTTGCACCATGAAAGGTCTTGGTAACAACTTTTTTGTCTCTCTGTTTCATCTTCATGGTTCTCTGTTCCAGTGAGTATCCCAGTTTTCTGGCTGCATCTGTGAGTTTTTCATCTATGCTTTTCAAGAGGCTGGTTTTCTTTTTATCAGTTACTTAAGTTTTTTCATCAAAAATAATTTGTCTGCAGCAAACATATTATCTCCACTTTGAACAATTACACAGTTCTTCTTTGCTTCATTTGTACCAACATATACAGGAAGTTCATCAGGAGAATCTCTGAAATATCCCATGTGGTACTGAGTTTTATTATCTCCTATAATAATGATCTGGAACTCAGGAGGATCATAATAAAACCTCCAGTGAAGATTAAAATTCAAGTCTGTGGATTTTTTCTTTAATTTATGTTTTCCAGCAAGGATATCATAAGGACCCACTAATCGAAGTCCAAGGCTTGTAGAAAGTGAATCAGCTGGGTTTGCAGGATTAAGTTCTTCACAAAACTTCCAGAAGTGATAGAAATCTTCAGGCTGAGAAAGCTTTAATGATTTTCTATTTCTCTTCGAAGATCGCTGGAGATGTCAGCTTCACAAGATTTACTTTTCTTTTCTTCAACTGTCTTTTCACACTGCTGTCCCTCTCTGCCCAGCGACGCTTCGCGCGGCCGCCTCTGCCACGGCCACTGCTGCCGCCTCTGCCATGGCCACCGCCGCCGCCTCGGACCATCCTCTCTTTCCTTTCTTTGTTATTTCTTTTGTTTTATTTCTTGTTTGTCTCTTTCCTTTCCCTCTTTCTACCTTTTTCTCTCTTTCACTTTTCTTTCTTTCTCTTTTTTGTGTCATTCTCTCTCCCTCCCTCCCTCCCTCCCTCCCTGCTTTCCTCCCTCCCTCCCTCCCTTCCTCCCTCCCTTCCTTCCTTCCTTCCTTCTTTCCTTCCTTCCATCCTTCCTTTCTTCCTGCCTGCCTGCCTGCCTTCCCTTCTGCTTTCCTTCCTTCCTTTTTTCTTATGCCAGTCCTGAGGCTTGAACTCAGGGTGTGACTACTGTCCTGGAGCCCTTTTGTGCTCAAGCTAGAACTGTACCAGTAGAGCCACAGTGCCACTGCCGCTTTTTCTGTGATTTCATAGGTGATCAGAGTGTCAAGATGGATCCTGCCTGGGCAGGCTTTGAAAGAAGATTCTCAAATCTCAGCCTCCTGAGTAGCTACAATCATAGGTTTGAGTCACCAGCACCTGCCTGCAATTATTTCTTATCTCTCTGTGTCAATAATCATCTTTTCCAATGACCATGCCTGTCTTTGATTTTTCTTGCCTCATTCTTAATGCTATTTAGTTTAAAAAATCTTTGAGTTTTTTAAAAATTTCTTTGTTAAGTAATCACATAAATTTCATAAGCATAGCTATGCTTAGCTAAAGTCACAAACACATTTTACTCTTCACAATGCAAATTGCCCTTATTTTGATCTACAAAGCTTATGAACTGTACAAACGTTAACAACAGAACTATTTCTTCCAAATGGGGTGATTGTTCCTTTCTTTGCTTTTGCACAGTGTCAGCTGTTCCCTCGTTCTCTCTCATTCCCTCCCTCCCTCACTGCCCATGAGTTGCTTAGTTCTCTTTCCTCAATGTCCAGTGCAGCTGATGGACCCCTTGCTGTATTTTTTCACCCATTTTCCTCCAAATCTGTGCCTTTCTCCTAGCTTCCCGCAGATGTGCATGTGTATACAGCCTGTATGGGGTCCAAAACTTAGAGTCACCTAGAAACTACATGACAACTTAAGAGGTCCTTTATTTCTTTTTCTTTTCTTTTTTGGTCCAGTCGTGGGGCCTGAACTCTGGGCCTGGGCGCTGTCCCTCAGCTCTTCAGCTCAAGGCTAGCGCTCTACCACTTGAGCCACAGCGCCACTTCCGGCTTTTTTCTTTTTTTCTTATGTGGTGCTGAGGAATCGAACCCAGGGCCTCATGCATGCAAGGCAAGCGCTCTACCACTGAGCCACCTTCCCAGCCCAGGTCCTTTATTTCTTGAGTCCTGTTTACTCTGTCATATCTCATTCCATTTTGAAAGAAACACCAGCATATCAGGGAGAACATGTGCTATTTGTGTCTCTGATCTAGATTATCTTGCTCAATATGTTTTATTCTAATTCCATCCGTTTCCCTGCAAATGCCATTATTTTGTTCTTTCTAATGACTGTGTCATATTCCATTGTATACAGGCACCACCATTTCTGGATCTGTTCATCTGTGGTGGGGCACTGGGCTTGTTTCCATATCCTGGCTATTGTGAACAGTGCAGCAATGAACATGGAGGTGCATGTGCTTGTCCTATCCACCCCTCCCCCCCACTCCGCCAAAGTTGTAAAGTTCACTTTCGACATAACGACTTGTACATCTCATTGTTGCAATGGGACCACCTGTATCCCTAGTTAAACAATTTGCTTTTTCCCTTCCCCTCCACAGATTATACCTACATCAAATACAGTGAAAGCAGGGGTTATACCGTGGGGGAGGGACATACAAAGCAACACAGAAATCATCTTACAAATAGGTTAGAAACAATTGCATGAATGAAAAATCATTTGAATACTTATCTTGGGGTTCATTTCACCTAACATCAACTTGCATTGCTTCTTTTGCCTAGAATTGCTTTGGCTATTCTAGGTCTTTTGCTGATCCTTATGAATTTTTGGATTGTTTTCTGTTTCAGTAAAGAATGTCATTTGGACCGAATTGCATTGAAGGGCAGTATGGCCATTTTCACAATGTTGCCATTTTCACAATGAGACACCTAGGAAATCTCCATCCCTTCATCCTAAAGGCCTAAAACATGTATAAAGTCACACCCAGAAAAAATTTTTAATACTGATTTATATGCGCTCCACAATGAAACAGACTTTCCACTTTACTTTCTAGCCTGGCTCAGGACCACCTGCTCCCTGGAAGAGGATCAACCAGGTGAAGAACTGTCCACCGAAAAGCTATCCATCTATAACAGCTTCACAAACACCACACTGTGGCTCTTCAGAGTAATGATGCAAAGCAATGGTGAGGAATTTACTTTACATTGAAACCTCATTTCTTCCATAGCTGGTGCCCACCCAAAAAAAAAATGTGATAAGCCAGGAGCCGATGGCTTGCACCTGTAATCCTAACTACTCTGGAGGGTAAAGGTCTTTCCATTTCCTGGTGTCCTCTTCGATTTCTTTCTTTAGATTTTTATAATTTTCACTGAATAGGTCCTTTGCAACTTTGGTTAGGTTAATTCCTAGATAGTTTATTCTTTTGGAGGTTATTGTGATTGGAGTTGTTTTCCTGATTTCCTTTTCTGCTTGTATATTGTTGGTGTACAGAAAGGCAACTGATTTTCATGTCATCTGTGAATTTCTTCTTTTCCTATGTGGATCCCTTTCATTTCCTTCTTTTCCCTTATTGGGCTGGCTAAGGATTTCCTTCGAGTGTTAATGAAATTGTTTTGTTTGTCAGTAGTAGGAATTGAACTGGGTGCCTCATGTTTGCTAGGCCAGCCCTGTACCACATGAGCCATTCTCAAGTCCAGATTTAATACCATCTGAATACTCTCTTCCCCTCTCTTCTTGTATAAGGATTCTTGTTCTGATCTTCCTCTTGGTCCAAAAGACACATCCTCCTGGTGATAATGTTCAGTGTCTTAGGCATGGCTCCTCCAAGATTAAGTCATTTATGTTGATTTTTTCACAATGGTTGGTTTAATCATTTGTCTTTTAGCCATGGTTAGGAAAGAGGAGAAATATGGGGCTGTGAACAAAAGAACAAAGATGTGGCCAGCAGTGAGCACAGGTTGATATCATGATTTGAGTTCAATAACAATCAGTTAAAGGCTGGGAATGTGGCTTAGTGGTAGAATGCTTACCTTGCATGCATGAGGCCCTAAGTTCAATTCCTTTGTACCACATAATGAAAAATAAATGCAATTAATTTAAAATAGACCAGTTCAGCTATATTAAGTTAAAGCAGAATATTAGAATTTTTACTTCACTTGTTTTGCTTTTTTATGTGGTTATTATGAAATTGCATATGGGCCTAAATTGTGGCTTGCACTGGATTTCTATTAGATCACAGATCTATAGTTTCTGTGTATTTTTCTTTTTTTCCTCCTTGAATCTGCTTGTATATAAAAATTTGGAAGCAAACAGCACCTTACTGAAAGCAAACAAAAACCTCAGATCCTTACAACAC